TCCCCCAACGCCCCCCATCCCCATCCCGTCTCTATCTCTCTCTCTCTTTTGCAGGACCACAACAACCACGGGCCGCCAACCCGCCACCAGGTTTGGTTTGGCTTTTCCAAAACGTGTGTGTGTCTGCGGAGGTCCGCCATGAGGGACTACTCGACCCATACGAGACATGAAGGCTCCTGTGTGGCCTGCTGCCAAGTTTGTGTCTTCTTCTTCACTGCAGTCCTCATCGTCGCAGAGAGGGCGGCGCGTGAGTCCTACCTGGGACACAGACACACTCACACACTCACAAGGACAGAAAATGCATGCATCCAAATTCACCTGCAGAAATACAATGTCTAGACTAGCTATGACACATCATTTCTGATTGATGGTAGCAGGGGGTGTAGTGGCTGTGGGATTATTGGTGCAACTATTCGTGAAAGTTGTGTGTTTGTTGTGTGACGTCACGGACTGCAGCAGTGCATGATGCATGTTATCAGAGCAAAAGTGCAGACTCATGCCACATGCTTTCACCCCCTCCTTGCTGCACCATCCCAAAATGATTTATTCACCAATAAGATGGAAGATTGCAGGAGCAATGCTGACACATTCCAGCACGACCCCTTTTTGGGGGAAAATGAGAGCATGGGCGTACCCCAGGTTGGGGCCTTGTAATGGCGGGACCCATGTTGCAGTAGGGTTTGGTTTTCATGTGTGAGGGGAAGGAGGGAGCTGGAGCTGTTGTATTTCTCCTCAGATGGGATGAAGAGCATTGCAGAGGTCATATGAATGTTGTTGAGGAACTAGGCTTGTAGAAGGAGCGCTATGTATAAACTTGGAATTCCATGAGGAATTTATAGAAAGAGTATCACAACATGATAATGACTACTTTTTTTAACCATCCATCCATTTTTCTGAATCAACACTGTTGGTCGCAGTCTATTTTGCTTTAATTGAGTCACAATGCAATCACTGTCACTTGCACTAACCAGACATTTATCGAATTACATTGTATGATATCCAATAAGAAAGTACCTTAACCCTTTCATGCACCCTGTAACCTGATAACACGATAAGATGTCCACTGTAGTAACCGCTGTCCCTGAAAGGGCTAAACTACTGAACTGACTCTTAACTTATTTATATTGGATGGTCATTGCGTAGCAGTGTAAATCTTCCTTTTTTTTCCTCCAGTGATCTACTGTTTTGTGTACTATCTGTGGGTGGGTCACAACTACTGCTACGCCCATCTGGCTGGCTTCACTGCACTCTTCCTTCTACCAGGTAAGACAGACAGACAGACAGATAGATAGATAGATAGATAGATCGATAGATCGAAAAGGTTGATCTCGATTGATGGTATTCCAGGTTGGGGTCCACAGTGGCTCAGCTACCTGTGGTACCTCTCAGATGGACGGATCCGCAGAAAGTCTCTCACCTGGACTCACATACTGCACTTGGGTATCTTCAAAAGGTGGGTTGTGCATCAAGTAATGTTTATTGTGCTTGTGGAAATGGAAATTAGACACATTTTGGTTATTTTTGCCTGAGAAGAAGCTGGCATTGCAACAGCTTCTTTTCCCACTGTATATGCTTGTGTTGGCTACGCAGTTTGAGTAACACATTGTGAGAATTAAGGATACAGCATTTGATGTGTGCGTGGCCTTGGCAGGTTGTGGGAGTGCATGCGTCTTTCAGACATGGACGTGTACGGAGAGATCATGCAGCAGGCTGACGTGTCCGCCTTACGCTTGCTGGAGGCCTTGGTGGTCACCCTCCCCGAAACACTGCTACACACATACGTGCTCATCTGTACTGATATAGGCATCAAATCTCCAGGTAGGGAAGATAATGCCGCTACTTATGTCTGAAGGGAGGAAGTACTGTAAACATGACATGTATTGTCTTTTCTCAAATAGTGGCCGGCCCGCTAAAAAACAATCTCCATAGTAGATGGGCTGTAACTTGTATAGCACTTTTCGACCTCAGATGCTCAAAGCGCTTCACATTGCTACCACATTCACCTGCTGATGGCGTGGCAGTATCTTCGGCAAGGTTGCAATGGCCGGGAATCAACCCACCAACCAAGATGACCAGTCTATCACTGAGCCAGCCCCCCCTCCCCTTCCCATTTACAACAAAAGACAAATAAACACCTCCATTTTCCCATCAGGATTGATATACATAATAAATATAATGACCCAAATTCACACACAGGACACATTTGATCTTCTTTGCAAACCAAAACTTAAGCACCAAGTATGTCAACAACTTCTCAGATGAATTTTAAGCATGAGTTCTCTGCGCAACATTAGAGATGATCCTGACAAATTTAGGAGTTATTTTCTTTTTCTCACACTTCACTTTTTCCACACCTCCTGTCTTTCCCTCTTCTCCTTCAGCGTCAGTGTGTTTTGCGGTGTGTTTGTTATCTCTGGCCTGGGCGTTGGTCCTGTACGCTCGAGCATGTCACCTCATCAGACCAGGACACCTGCAAATGACCCCGGCAGCCATCTTCTGTCGGCTCCTATGGAGGGTAAACACTTTCAAGAGGCTTTCTGACAAAATACACTTCTCTCCGATTACGTGTGTGTGTGTGTGTGTGTGTGTGTGTATACTTTATACTATATATGTTTGCGTGTGTGCAGGTCAGTATGTTGGGCTCACGATTCGGCGTCCTCATGCTTTTCACGCGAGTCTTCAAACAGTGGGTTCTTGGTGTTATAGGTGAGTCTGTGTAAAGCGGAGGTGTGTTCATGTTTCAAGTAAAAGACAATATAGTTTGGATTACTGTATGCTGGATTTCATTCTATACACAGCATTATTTTTACAAAGTACAGCATCTTATAATCTACTAGTATCTATTCATCTATCTATTGTATCTAGCTAGCTATTTAGCTAGCTATATCATATCATATCTACCATGTATGCACTGTGTATATGTATAGGGCATCTTATCATACCTTTAGTCAAGTATAATATGTCATTATGCACCCTAAAAAATGCTATCTTAAGTCGATTTATATCGGCATCACAAAAATAATTGTTTGTATTGGGATTTGCGCCGTCTCGTGAGACCTAATAAGAGGTCTTAAAGAATTGTTCATATACAGTACTGTAAACATTAAAGTGAGAGATGATAAATGTGCAAATCTGTGTATTTGGGAGAGGAGCTAAGGTTCGCTCATTTTTCTGGTAAAAATTGACTGAGAGTGTCATGTTGCTTTGCAAGGGGCTAATTAAAAACACAAGGTTGACCAATGACAGAGGTCCTGTTATTGCTTGACCATCAACAGCTGCAATTTGCGATGTTCTCTATGCGTCAGGTGTGCACTGGTTGGGGACAACATTTTGGATGGTTTCTCAGCAGACTGACATCATACGTTCAACTAGTCGATGGAGACTCTTCAATCTGGTCCTTGGAGCCATCCACATTTTCTTCTTCCTCAACGTGAAGTACGGTCCATCACGCTTCCGCATGGCTGGCTTCTATCTGGTATGTGTGTGTGTGTGTGTGTGTGTGTGTGTGTGTGTGTGTGTGTGTGTGTGTGTGTGTGTGTGTGTGTGTGTGTGTGTGTACAGTACAGTATATCCCCATAGCTCTAACTCACCCATGACTCAATGAAGAAAATTGCTAATGAAATGTTGAATGTTCAAGTTTGAGGCTAGTTTGTGTGTGTTCCTCTGCTTCAGGTAATGTTTTTAGAGAACATTTTCCTCCTGCTGGCCTCGTCCTGGTTGTTCAGCATGGTGTCATGGGATACGGTGGCCATCCCGGCCGCGGTCCTCTGCAGCTTCCTTATCGGTGAGGCGAGCAAGTGCCTGTCAGTAGCTCCATTTTTTTAACGTCTATATTACTGGGGAGCTTCACATGCCTCATATCCATGTTTATCTTTCCGTCTGCTGCAGGTGTGATCTCGTTGGTGCTGTACTATCGCTTCCTTCATCCCAAATCCTTTGAGATCTTCCAGAGTATTCGCCGCAGGGGGATCAGCGGCGCCTGCATGGAGAGTGGATCCATACTCTCGTTGGAGGAGAAAGTCACGCCTACTTTCCATCGCCATGCAACACTGTCTGGTCCGTTTGGTCTTTCAGTTAACCAATTAGTCATACACGGTAGGGATTCAGGTATTCATCCTCATGGCTGTGGTTGTTAATCATAATCAGGAGGTGGCACCCTTATGGACCTCCCGCTCCAGTGGGAGGGCTGGAGGCATCATCACTGGCTGCTGATTCGTTTGGCTCTAAAGACAGGAGACGTGCCCAAGATCTGGTCGTTCTATGGAGAAGGCGGTCTTGCTGGTCTCATGGGTCTGTGTGAAGAGATTCACTATGGCAATGAACCTCGTCGTGTACCTCAGGTTTGTTGTATTCATGCACAGCTAAGAGTATTCAAGTCAAGTTTAGGCCTTAATCACTAAAGAGTCTGAAAAAGGGAAGAGAAGCGGCAGTAAAACAGACCAAAATGCAGAGGTGAGGTCGGGTGAGAGACTAGATATTTTTGAGGGACACACCCACTGTTGCAAGAAAGAAAGTTGTAATTGTTGTAGGATTTGATCCTTAAATGATAAATCTTATCAATTTTATTCTCATGATATTATGACTTGTATCATTTTTCCTCATAAAATAATTGTATTTTTTGACAATAATTAGTTTTTGTCATGTCACTTTTTTCTGTAATAGGACAATGATGACTTTTCTCATAATAGCACATTAACGTTGTAAAGTTACAAAACCACTATTTTGACTTGTATTTATCCTCCTAAAAGTATGACAATCTCTCATCAAAAATAAATTTATTCTCAGAAAAAGAATCACTAAATAGGGAGTCAGTTTCCTTAATTTTCCTGGTGTGGTTGGCCCAGGAATTACCCAACAGTTTGAAAAAGCAGATAGAAGTCACAATGGAAGCCAAGTGCAGCCCATTGGGATGATGGTCCAATTCATCTACTTCCTCACCTGCACTTTATAACAAATGCTCCCTTTGTGCTATATTGAGCGTCATTGTAGTTCTTGTTTCTTTTCCCATCAGGCTCCACGTGTCCCAACGCAGGTTCCTCAGGTCCTACAACCAGCCCCTCAGCCACCCCCACCTCAGGTGACTCCAGCTGCCCAGGTAATCTTATTGTTAGCATTCCGCCCATCAATAATAATAATAATAATACATTTCATTTATAAGTTTGACCACAGGTTCCTATTCAAACGCATATTATACACTCACTGGCCACTTTATTGAGTACAGGTCAATATTGTGTCTAATCAGGTCCAATACAAGAGATTGCTTTTCTAAATACCGGTACATCATAATAATGTTCTCTTTGCCTCTCCAGGAGAGAGAGGTGGCACCACCACCAAAGCCAGCTCTGACCAATGTCATAGCCAGACCTGTGAGAAAAGCTCCTCCCACAACAATCCATGATATTAGAATGGTTCCAGAGATCATCCCGGTGCATGAGGCCATTCTTGAAGAGATCACAGAGGATTTTAGTGCTCCGCGGACAGAGGACAGAGGTTTGTTGGAATGCAACACATGATTAATACCACATCCCAATATCAACAGAAACATCAGTGATCTACTCTTTGTTCAATGGCCAATGTAAAGAATGTAACTATGTTTTTGGTTTTGTTTTGACCTAAAAAAAAAAATCAAGAATGACTTATGTCGCCTTTTATTATTATCACTGTATCATATTTCGATCCATCTGCTCCCTGTAGTGCTTGTCCTCACTCGGAGCTGTATCCTTGTCCAACTGACTTTGGGTGATAGGCTGACCAAATACCAACCAGCGAATCACAGTTTATTTTTATTGTGCAAATTATTTGTGTCTTAAATCAAATTTCCCAACCAAAATGAAGTGTAATGCCAATAATCACCGCCCCACCCCCGCTTCCACAAAAACAGCAATATTTTTGTTATATGGATTTAATAAAAACAAATGGCACTATATAATTTAATATAAATACATAATGAATGATAATGTTTAAAAAAGGTTTAATTAAGTGAAATTAAATGAAAAGACACACACACACACACACACACACACACACATTCTTACAGTCACTGTAAAACAGTGATGTGTTGTACCTTTAAATGACGTAGCCCAGAGTGCCGTGTAGCTCTCCTCGAGCTCGCGCTTGCGCTACGTGACATCATGACATCAGAGGGGACGAGGGGGGCTTACCTAACCAGTGAGAGCTCAGCAGACGCCTCATAACCTTTGCACGGTTTCTTGATAGCATCATCGTTTTGCACATTTCACTTTTTGCCAGTCATGCTAAGAGCTAATTCACAGCCAAAAAACAAACATATGTGAAATACGTGACGTGTGATGCAAATGACTTTTACGTCGTGTGAGAGAAAGCACAACTGAGCCATTTATAATATTATCAATTGGGCATATTTCCTAACATCATGTGTAACATGTTGTATGTGTCCTTTTTAAAGGTGATGACGAATTTCAGAGCGCGATTTACGGCTCACCTTCACTTTCATCCCCTGCCCAACCGGGAAGCCTGCGCCATGTTGACAGTAATGCCGCCACCCTGACCGAAAAGTCGTCCTCCGCAGCTTCTTTGGACATCAAGACCCCTGGCTGGTCACCTGAACGTCACTCCCCTCTCCTGATCAGCTCCCCAGAGAAAAAAACAGGCACACCATTAGATCCTAACACGACCTCGTATTTCAGCATCGATGCACCCTCTCCCTCCACTGGCAGCTACCTGGGCTGGGGGTCTGAGCTGTCACCCATCTCCATCTACAGAAGCCCCTACCGCATCAGAGAAGCTCGTTTTGTTACCCCACGTCCGGAATCCCGAGCTGGGGCAGAGAGTCCAAGTCTGGCCCCGGTTATTATTATCCCTGCCACGCCCGGTACGACCCCACGTGCGACCCCTAGTGGGACCCCTGGTTCCATTACCCCTGCCGCCTCCACACCCACCGCCTCCACCCCTGCTGCATCCACTCCCGGTGCTGCAACCCCTGCTAGTGCCACTACACCCAGCACTCCGATAGTCCCACTCACCCCGGTCATCTCCCATGCCCGAAAACAGATGGTTCAGTTTGTGGACAGCAGAGAGAGGGCCGTGTAAGAAGGATGAAATCAACAGTGGTCACTAACCAAAAAAACAAAGTGCGAAGGCAAAGGATGTATCCAAAATCCGAGTATTTTGGTCACTTTTAATTTATTTAATTTATAAAAGCAGGTTATGATCAAAATTCTCGACATGATTCTGTGCAGTTGTGCACCACTGTAATAATCATATGGGTTCAATAGTAGATATCAAAATTAACATAATTATTATGATTCATTGACACAACTCTGGGCCCATGGAGTTGTTAAATCCGGCCCACCGAGCATTTACATGATCAAAAATCCTGTCATTGTTGGATGACTAGTAATTCAGCTGTGAAATCCATTTTATATTCAATCCTCTCATTAAATAATTGGTAAAATGATTTAATCATTTGACATATACATTGAACATATTCAATAGTTGGTTAATTTGTCATAATTTAATTATAAATAATGAAAAAATAAGAATCAAATAACATTGGTCAACAGCAAATTTTATCCCTAACAGTATAGCAGATCAGTTTTTGAGATGTTTTCAATTTGTTGTTAAGCTTGAAGTACACGATATGAAGCATGTCTTCCCGCTGCCCATTGGTGGGAGTGATGAAACTTTCCCAATAACTACAAGGCTATAAACGAAATGAACAACCTTACTGTAACAAAACAACAAATGATTTTCCCATCAAAAATAGTAAGAGGAAGATCTCGATCGTGATAATAGTGTATTTAAATTTTTACAATAACATTACAAAAAAAAAAACCTCATTAGCATTAAGATGATATTTTAGAAGGGTTGTTTTTTCTAACGAAGGAATCAGTTTACATTAAATGCTGCCTTCCGGGGTACAGCTACTTTTCTAAACCACTTGGGTTCTTGTGAATTCTTACTTTTACAAAGCAATACAAACACGCTACTGTTTATTCATTTAGAAAAACAATAATTCATAGGTTCACTTTCAAGGATTTAAGTCTTACATTTTAACTTTTAATTGTTACAGTTTATTAGTCACCAGAGTAGGTTGCAGTATTCTGTGTAACAGGAGGGTTTTCAAAGTGGAGGGCACTGAGCCTCCCGTCAGAGAACATAAAAATCGTTGGGGTCTTGCTTCCTAATTTTTGTCTTTTTCCAGAACTTCTCTTTATCCGGAAATTAAAAATTTATCCAGTTCGCACTTTCAACATGTACAGTAGTTCACATTAACACTAACACATTTTTATTTAAAGTTGTGTGTCAGAACACTCAGTAACACCGTACATGAAATAAAACGAGCGTGTGGAGAAAAAAAAACTGCTAAAACTCAACAAACGTACAGTAAAATGAGTTTAAAAAAAAAAATAACAGCAGTTGGCTTAGCAGAGCTTAAAATGTTTTCTTTACTGCAGGTGCACCTGCCACATTGAAAACACTTGCTAGCTTGGTGCATTTCGTTGGGATCGTGTGATAAGGGAAACTTAGCAGGACAGAGCAGATGTGAGTTGTGCCGGTAATGTTGCATATCACGAAAGCTATTTATTCAAATAATTTGCTCTGTTCTGCTCATATTTACACTGAAAGAGGTCATAGGTGAACTACTGTTTCGAGTACATACACTGAAAGTTATGCGTAATTATGAAGAATATCTGCATGAGGACCACGTGCACCTGCTGCACACACTGTAGAAGACATTGCACATGCTTGGATGTGAACACCACAGGAATAAAGCAGCTAATGACATGCATCTTTATGCACCAAAGGAAAATATACACGCTTTAGACTGCACAACTATCGTGATGAATTGGAGCTTCTTTGTGTGAGCGTGTCTTTGCATTCCCGCCTAGTAGCCCAGAATGCATTACTTTAAATTCATATCCTTTTTTTTTTTTGTCTTGGATTTTTGGACACATTTGGATATATGTTTCAGTAGGCTGATGTTTTTGTCTTTTATCGTCAACTATGGACACCCATCACGTTATCTCAACTGAGATTTCCACTGCTGATGTGGTTGACGGTGCCGAGACTCTTAACTGTGCTATTGATGTGACAAAATAAAAGTCATTAACCCTGATGAAAAAGCCGTTCTGTTTGGTGCTTTTGAACTGGCTGATGAAACGGCACTATAACTCTTGCTCAAACGTCAATATTTTCCATAACTCATCATTTATAAAGTCAGCCACTGGTGCTCGAAGGAAGAGAAAGCAGCTATCAATCAGCATATTCTCTGTGGTTGCCCTGTCAACAGACACAAAAAAATATCACTATCAGCATAAAACTTCTCACACAAGAATACATATCACATTAATCGGATGGATGGCTTTTTTTTATTGTACAGTACTGTGCAAAGTTCATGCTTGATTGTTGTGTCCAACAATATAAGAATATAAATTATTGTCTGTTTTGTGTGTATGTGTGTATTTGTTAGTTGTCTGCATGTTTAGTTGATGATGATCACAAAAAAATCAACTAAATTAAAAGAATGAACCATTGTTTGAATTGAATACAGTCCTCTCTTATCTAGTTTATTATTATTATTATTAGTAGTAGTAGTATAGTTATTATTACTATAGATCTTTTGTTTCCCTTCTGTTACTGACTGCATAAGGTTTGCGACCATCAATTCGCAAAGCGGCAAGGTGGGGCAGTGGCTGCGGCGGCCGGCAAGTGTAAGACAGAACAAAAAATGCCGAAAATGTTTCACTTTTTGTTCATTTGTTTTGTGTCTTGTATTTTTTCTGAAATGTACATTTGTTTCATGCAATGTGAAAGTGTTTCACAATTTGTATTAAGTTTGGGACTTCTCTGCCACCTATACAGGTACTCCTTTTCTTTTTTTTTTCTTTTTTTTTTTTTTTTTACCCTTTTTGACCTCAACGACGAATGTTCTTTTCAATTCCTGTAGATCACATGAGCAGCGTTCATGTGACTGGTCATGTGATCTCAGCTCTAACTATAGCTGCCGAATGTTGTTTCGTTCACCCACTTTCAGCGGGCGAGCAGAACACTCTTCATCTCACCTACCGACCAGCTAGCTGCAGGTAATTATTGTCTTTAGCACCGGCTCGCCGTTTAACCTGATAGACGTCATGATTACACGAAGAGCAAAGAGTTGGCCGATAGACAATCCAACTAAATCTGTCAAGTCACACTTTAAAAAAAAAAAAAAAAAAAAACTAGCAACACAACAAACAAGCCAAAACGGCTACCATCGCCCAGTCATTTTAATACCAATTTTTTTGTACATATTTCGATCATCTATTTGCACTTTTTAGTGTAATTCCTTCGGGTTTTATTTGCCTGTGAAGTATACTTAATGGTGAATTAATTAATAATTAATTATTTGCTCGGTAATTTGAAAAGAGACGACATAGCTGAAGGCTCACAAAACCAGTGTAAGCAGTCGGACGACTGATAATCAAAATTTTAAATAGCAAAAATAACTCGGTGATTCAACTAAAGAGTAAATGAATCCAAGATTGGACAAAACATGATAAATGTCCAAATAAAGCATGCAAGAAAAACTGTTCAGAAAATATGCTAATTTGGCAAAATGGCAATTGGGAGATGACCAGACCAAGATGACAAAGGACGAAGGTTTCAGGAATCTGTTTCTGTTTCTTCCCTTCATACACTTTGAGTGATGATGTATAAATTAGCCTCACCCATGCGTGATCAGTCCACTTCGAAGTTGGACCCGTAACATCGCCACTACGTTCAATGTATAAGTTTCTCGAAACAACGCCTGCCTCGACAGTTCCTAATTTTAAGGTGGGACAAAAGCGAGTGTAAAACTTAAAACGTGTGCAAGAACAACTGATCAGACAAGATGCTACATTGTCGTTTTTCCCTGTTGTCTGGTGGGATGAATCACCGTTGTGTAAACGAGTCCGCATTGAAGAGGAATTACAACATTGATTTGTCTCAAATGTGGTAAGAAGGAAGGTGAAACTGAAAGAAGGATATGTATTGACGATACTTGTTTGAGCTAGTGTGCTGTTCCGCCATAAAACAATACAATATTGGTTGTGTATTTCCTGACCTACTTACTGTATTTATTCAAATACACAACGTCTTGATAAAATGAGTATATCCATTCGGGAGTCCTCAGATAAGAAGTGAACATGTAAGGAGACAAAGTCTAGTTTCGAATAACATGACCCAGGAAGGAGACAAAGTCTACTTAAGAATAATGTGACCCAGTATGGTGTTTTTCTCATTGGCTGGAAACTTGTGTGGTTTTAGTTATGACTCACTGTGCCTGTCACTCGAGCTAGTTGGAAATCGTTGGCTTCTGAAGTGGATTTACATGTAAAGCCCTGTTCACACGGCACACATTTGGTCCGACGCTGCACCGAAATATTTTGTTGCGATGTATTTTACACCGGAACAAATTTTGTGGAGCGGTCACACGTGCAAAGCCGCTGAGCGTGACAACTCCGGCGCAGCGTCGAAGCAGCTCCACTTGCAGTCACACACAAAAGACAAATACTGTAGCTACGCACGTGGGTGAAGGTAAGGTCGCAACCATGCTGCACGTTAGCAAGTCCTTTGAGGCTTTTGCTCTGATGTATTCAGCGTGCGCTCGTGTGTGATTTACTGTACTTTCGACAGATCATATGTTTAACGGTTGCTTGCAGTACAGACAGTGGTAACCTTTCGCTGTAAACGACACAACTAGCGCTACTACTGTTTTTGTAACGACATAGTGGACACTTGAAAGTCAAACAAAGTTAACAGAAACACCCAGAACGAGGTTAGAATTATTAAATTTTCAGACATTTAATTAAAGGAATGTTTTAACATGAATTCATTTGGGAACCTTTTACCAAGCTTCACCAAATACTGCAAACTCTCTTGGCATGACAAGGGTGGAGTTCTACACCGCTCAATAATACAACGACGATCGCAAGCAATTTAAACAGAGCATTAGTGTTGTTTGTGAATGCACATGATCATATTCAGATGACAATGAGCTAAAAATGTATGTAGGCTTCAGTGGAATTGTCTGTTAGTTTCCTCTTAACACTTTCAGTAATAAGAGGAATAAGTTAGCCTTGCCCATGTGAGCTCAGGCCAATTCAAACAAATGCACCTGTGACAAGTTTACCATGTTCACTTATACTTTCGACCAACAATGCCTGTCTCAACAGTTCCTGATTTTTAAATCACTGTCAATGGATTTATTTCCTACTTGCCTGTAATAGTGTTTCCTCCTTTTTGTGACTGTTTAGACATCATTAAATTGTTCGATGATGTGTCTGGGTGCCTGTCATGGTTTTAATGGACTTTGAGTGGCTTTTTAATCCAGAGCACAGGACTCACCTCATATCATCAGCATCTCTAATGGCTGCTTGTCTTGCATGCTGCAAACTGAAGTGCCCTTCAAACTGCACTGCAGGCAGGCAGTGGATCGGGTTAAGTGTCCAGTTAGGGTAAAAACAACAGTGACAGGACAATATGGATGAGGAAGCAGTTTATGAGAAAAATGAATGAATGAATGCAGCGGACTGTTCCTGAGGGGTGTTAACGGAATGTTTTTGACGACTGAAGGGGACTTTGTTAGACATGACTCGGGATATAATAGGGTGCATAATAGGTGTGTAAAGAAAACTGATTTGAATCGGAAGATTGGTTTTCTGAATGTGTTTGGCTTAGGGAGTCGGGGAGTGGGGGCGAGTTAGGTGGGGATGGGCGGTAAGAGTGAACGTGTTTAGAATCGGAAGACAAAACAGTTGCATGCGGATAACTGAAAAATGTCAACGACAACACCAAATAGTTGACATCAACTCGACTACACCACCACTTTAACAGTGACTACCAAAAGTCAGAAGTTATTCACCTCCTGTTTAGTTACTTGCGACTTCTGTTGTTTCAGTTCGAGCCTAGGTAAATGTTCTTTCATACTGCATGCATTGTTAGTTTTAAATTATAATCAATTTTTTTTTGGTCTTTTCAGGCAACATGTGGCGTGCAAACATCCTGTTATTGGCTATCAGCTTGTCACTGAGCTTGGCGAAACCTCACGTCAACCTGTTTTCCACTGAGATGGTTGACTACATCAACAAGATCAACACTACCTGGAGGGTGAGGTTTTGGTTCCTTTCATGATGGTTTCATACCTTCTTTCACTCATGTCTGCCTACGTGTTCTCCTCTGCAACAGGCTGCTCACAACTTTCATCATGTCGACCACAGTTATCTGAAGAAACTGTGCGGAACGTTTCTTAACGGACCCAAACTTCCTGTTATGTGAGTTTCACATTTCGATGAGCTGCCCTTTATGTTAAGGTGTACATTGTGCTTGCATATTAAGTCAAGCCGAACTGCACTCGCATGCAGGGTTCAGTACGCTGACAACCTGTGGTTGCCGAAGAACTTTGACTCGAGGGAGCAGTGGCCCGAGTGTCCCACATTGAAGGAGATCAGAGACCAGGGCTCCTGTGGGTCATGCTGGGTGAGAAACCAAAACGGTTTTGATCTTATTTAGATTTCAAATGTTTAATTGTGCTTTGTGAAAGATAGCAAAGCAAATTCTCTGCCTTAATACTGAAAGTCGTCTCTGTTTGCAGGCATTTGGCGCTGCAGAGGCCATATCAGACCGTGTGTGCATCCACAGCAATGCCAAGGTCAGCGTTGAGGTCTCGGCAGAGGACCTGCTGACTTGCTGCGATGGGTGTGGCATGGGGTAGGGTGACTGCAACATTTTTTAATTTATCTTGACAGTGCCTCCCCTGGCAGGAGTAGCCTGCTGTAGGCATACAATAATTCCAAAATGTACCATGTCCACATCTGACACTTGTCAGATGGAAGTAGAGCTGTCTGACCTGATCAGTCATGCCACCAAATTCATACAAAAAAATGAATGCACCCTCATAGATACCAATGTCCTATAGTAAGGCTGAATAATTAAATTCTAATTGACATCACTCTGTAGGTAGAATGCAATTTTCAAATTGGAAAAAATAATTACATCGATTTAAACAACAATCGCAATATTGCATGGGGAAAAAAACCTGTGGTTTAGAGGCTTTGTCAACATATTAAAACGATGCCTTCTTTTAGATGTAACGGTGGCTACCCCTCAGCAGCCTGGAAATTCTGGACCAGTGAGGGACTGGTCTCTGGTGGCCTATATAACTCCCACATTGGTGAGTTCACGTAGACCAAGAAGCCACGAGGAAACCGTAACTGTGCGAGATTATAGCGCCGTCTTCATGTACCCAGGTTGCCGGCCGTACACGATCGCGCCCTGTGAGCACCATGTGAACGGTAGCCGACCTCCCTGCTCTGGAGAGGGCGGAAATACACCAGAGTGTGTGTCCAAGTGTGAACCTGGTTACTCGCCAAGCTACATGCAGGACAAGCATTTTGGTCAGTAAAACTTCCATCTGTTGAACTTGAGTATCTGAGAGCCTTAAAGCATACTACAAGCATACGATCCTGCTTTAGTTAAAATTTACTGACCAGTCTTCTTTTTGGTGCGTTTCAGGTAAAACGTCTTACAGCGTTTTGTCAGAGGCGGAGCAGATTCAGATGGAAATATACAAGAACGGGCCAGTAGAGGGAGCCTTCACTGTGTATTCAGACTTTGTTCTGTACAAGTCTGGTAAGTAAGTGTACATTGCATTGAGTGCACTGTAAAAGCTCGCCAAATATATATATTTTTTCTACATTTCAAACTTGAGCATTCACTCCTGTACCCGGATGGATTTTGCCTGTTATTCTTGTCTGCAGGTGTGTATCAGCATGTGTCTGGGTCCATGCTGGGTGGGCATGCCATCAAGATTCTTGGCTGGGGTGAGGAAGATGGTGTCCCCTATTGGCTCTGTGCTAACTCCTGGAACACTGACTGGGGTGATAATGGTGAGTGAGAACTGTGGTTCATTCCACAAACATATTGCTTCAACTCGAGTTATCTGAACTCATTTTTTACACCCGAGTCCATGTCACTTCATTGTAAGTACTGGATCTCCCCAAACCAAGTCCTGATCCTATAGCTCAGCTATGGAGGAAGAAGAAAAAGAGTACATATAATCTATTTTACCTGTCTAATAGACATCACAAGTCATCGTTGCACCTTCATCACTTTCGCAATTAAAATACTAAACTGCAGAGCAGACATTATTAGCCCTGCATCAGCTTCACCTTTATGCTGTCCAGTTACAGCAACAGTCCACTCGGACTAACATTACCTGAATATTCCACGTCTGCTGTATGTCATTACTGTATAGCTACACTATTTAAAGAGAACTGATACAGGAACTCAATCAAATATTGAGCTTTTACAAAGATAATCCTTGTTTGCATGCTTTTTCAATAGTTCAGAACTTCACCGCATCATACTGGATGTATTTTTCATGTGCTCATTTATCCTGATAAAGAAGGCTACAAACTCATTGTCAGACGTGTTTTTGTTTGCTTCCATTATTTCTAGGATTCTTTAAAATCTTGCGTGGCTCAAACCACTGTGGTATTGAGTCTGAGGTTGTGGCGGGTCTCCCCAAGTAGAACCAAAGGTAAGATGGAATTGCGAATTCCAAGTTTTAAAAATCCAGTAACTCTTACTTGAAGTCTATTCAGTCTTAACTATTATCCCCTCTGTAGGTTTTTGAGTGTCCATGTTCGACATCTACTCACTAGAGGACGACATACTCCACTTGGCTGCACTGAAATGCCCACAGTGATTTTTTTTGAACTATTATTTTTTTTAATCAAAGTTCAATCAGCCTGTTCAAAAGTAGATGCAAAAGATTGAAGAATTACACTTTTTATTTTTAGGTTGATCCTTAGAATGTCTGCAACCACTGTATGTGCCTGAACACAATGGGTTTTTACAATATGTTCTTTTTTTATGTTTGACAGTCAATGGTGTGTATGTCACATTGACTTTATTCATGTCTGACTTTTGCCGTTTAAAACTTTGATAGGTTAAACTCTATGTTGAATGTGTCCAATGTTTTATCATAACACCTTTTACATTGTCATTTTATTTTTATGTGCCATTCTATATCTTTTATTAAGGACAAAGTATAAAAGTTAGTTTTTATCATCACCTTGCTGCAGTGAACAAAGTCTTTGCATACAACTGTTAAGCTCTGAATTCAATTTTGAGTTTGGTTCTTATTGTGATTTTGTGTTCTGTGCATTTGTGTTTAAACAAATATAATTGATGCAAATCAATTTTGCGGGAAGAAGATTTGAATCCGAAGTTATTTTTGCTGTTGACCTGGTTTATAAGTGCACTCTCTCCTTTAAAACTAAGATTTCTGAAACTTGAACAATGATTGCACTAAAGAACACATAAATTCTGAAAATGGGTGCGGAGAATGGTGAAAGGGAGAGCGCCTCCAACCTTTTACAAATGCTCTATCCCCAGTCATTCATTATTAATAACAACGGTGCTTTGTGTAAAACTCGTCTGCAAAGCTGCAAGTGTGTTACAGTGTACAACACAGTCAATACACGTACACAAACACATTTCTGCACCGGAGTAGCATCTCAATTTTTTCATAACTTTTTTAAATCCAATCTTGAAATGCACGTGAACCTTTTGAAGTGACTTGGAATGCACAGTACTGTACTGCAGTGCATCTAAATAATCCCACAAAGCCCCAAGCAACCGTATTTCGTGACTTTTGTTAAACCCAGCTCATGAAATGAACTGGTTTATTTAAATAGGTCAATATATTATACAAATACGGATTACATTAATGCTATTTGTAGAAATATGAGCGCTTTAAGTAACACATAGACTCCTCTACTTCCGCCTTCCTGTCAGAATAAACACGCCCCTGAGGAGAAGGAGGACAAAGGTATGTTCGTTTTCAATGCCAATCTTCTCTCTTCCAATCACCTCTACATTCGACAAACTGTTCCGAAACAAATTATTCCAATGTAAGTAAACCCCTCACAAGAGAGGGTATCACGATTTCATTGAAATTCTACTGGAATTTATCATATTTAGTGCGTGTGTACTTCACAAATGTGTTATCATTTGCACGTCCAGGACGTCGTGCTTTAAAATCAAACACACCATTCGGCGCTCAGTTGGAATTTGCTTGTCCCTAGTGTGTCCACTGCCAAGCTAGTAAATTAACGATGGAAGGTGCTGGCAGAACTACGTGGATGAAATATGGCTCTGCAATCTCATTGTTTGTCGTTATTCTGGCCATTTGGTTTCGGACACCGGACAATGAGGTACTGGACGGCCGGCTGGACACCGTGTTGTCCTCGCTGCTTCGTGCCGAGAGCAAAGTTGGAATGAATCATGTCGCTCGACCAAAGGTGGCTATTGGTAAGGTTTCGCACAGTTTGCACCTCTCATTTCACTTAAAACTTTGCGAACATGAACGTTGTTTCGTGACAATTGGCTACTGTAAAATGGCCCGAATGTGGCTTCAGTTGCTGACTACTTTCTTCAGCTAAAACTGCCAACCGTTCGTTTTTTTGTAATGTGTCACTGCTTGGGGTTGGCTGTGAGTTCTCCTGTGGCGACTTGACATAAATTTGAAAGCCACAAAAACGAGGTCAACGCAATCTTTTCATTGAATGGGATTTAAGCGGGAATCATCATTAAAACGTGGACCGAGGATGTTAATGATACAGCCGAGCATCTTGTCAGCTGGAGCAGTTTGTTTCGGTTAGACGCCTCTTGGTCTTGGGTTTGTTAGTTACACGGGCATTAGAACGTTTACTAGGAGGTGCTCAAATGTGCATAATCGATACAGGAATTTGCCTCTACTGTTTTTATCCCCAGATAGGCCCCGAAACCGTGAAACTCAGACATTTGTAGTCTTCGGGTGTCTGTAAAGAAACGTTGTCATGTTCTTATCCTGCCTTTCCAACCTTTGCCTCCCAACAGCCACATGGACAGATCTGCATCCCATGTCTCAAGGGCGGAGCTATAGGGTGGGCCACCATGTAGCTCCGCCCTTGAGGTCACCCCGATATCGAGGGGCAAAAAAAATTATATCTGACAACTCTTGAGTAAAAAGCAACCTTTAGAGTCAAGAGGCTATTGTCATTGTATGTTTCACATATGATTTGAATGAATGACCCATTGATCGTAGTCTGCGAAATGGCATTTCCCGTCTGTGACAATTGATCATTCTGATGGGCTTTTACCTAGCAAATCAGTAAATGAGGTAGAAGTAGACTACGAGATGGTACACATAAGGAAACCCACTGCAAAGAAAATGGCATTGCCTCGTAAATTAAGATCAGCAAAATGTTACTTTTTACTTTGATTTGTCCCAGCTTGATTATGAATGTGATCGCCATTTTTCTTGATATGTCTAAATTTTATTTCATGAAACTGACTGCAGATGGTATAATAAAGAAAGATGCACACATGCACAGCCATCATTCACTGAGGTGTTATGTCACCTTGGCCACACCACTGACATTTTTTTTTCGCTCCCCCTGGCTCGTATGGATTAGCAAGGCATCCCATGCCTGCTTACATCATGCATGTCTTTACGATGGTCAAGTGAAGATTGTATGCATGTGACATCAGATGTACAGCATGTGTCTGCTCACATTGGGATGTCCCTGCTCCAGTTGACCAGAACTGCTTACTGCCGTCATGTTTCACAAACTTTGCCCATTTATCCATGTGCTGCTCGTGTTGCAGGTTTTGGAGGCTGCGTGGACTTGCTCGTCGACGGTGTGTCTCTTCTAAATAAAATTGGCCTCACCCCCACCGATCGGCCCCTCCATCATGACTACATTGAAAATGCTGAGCAACTATCTCAGAGCTTCACCTACTTCTTTATTCCGGGCGCCGCTGCAGAGTAAGTAGTGTCCAAGCTTTGTTTAAAATGTACTTGTGTGAAACTGTCATGAAAATACGGTAAACTTAGGTCTGTGATACTGTCATCGGCTTGAAACATTAGTACACCTACGCAAGCCAAGGCTACATTTATATTTTGTTCGCAGCGGCTCTGGCAGCCTGGAACTTAGTGCAGCGTGGGATTTTGCAGGCTTGGTGCAGTTATTGCAAGTAAGGGTCATGCCACTAAGTATGAAATATTATTCACTTAAAGTTAAAATCATAATGTCCGTTCCAATACTTTTGCCAACAAAACTGGGTGGCTTCAAACAAAAGGTGCCCTGTCCCGAGTTGTCTAACACATTTAGATATAAATACTATGAAATAAAAGCTGGAATTCTCAACTTTTGTCTCAAATTCCTCTTTTGATCACAACAAAAAGAAAGGAATGAACCTTATTGTTCCAATACTTTGGTGGGAAATGTACATATTAGAGTTTATATAATTGGTGTATAGCTCTACATTTGCATTTTACACTGAGGTCATGTACAAAAGTGTGTGTGCGTGTGCGTGTGTGCGCACGTAATGGATTTGTAAAGCTTGAGAGCAGTTAAGTACAAGTTTGGACAATTTCATTGCGCAGACCCTCAGGCAACTCCTGACTTAGTGGGCCTCCATCACATGCTGTGTGTTCCGTCACATTAAGGTGAATAGCTTCCTTACCACATCCAAACCTTCAGTTTCAGCCAGTCACTATTATTACACTGACAATCAGATGAATTGTAAATATTTTTAATCACATTAGGTTTAGGCTGAACATTAGGTTTAGTGTGGTTCTTGCGTTCAGTCTGTGTGAGTTCACCACTGTCGTAAAATGGTTTCCTGCCCATAAATATTTTGTACATGGACAATAAATGGGAAATAGTTTACTTTTATTTCCCCACAGAGCACAACTCAGCTTAGTCATTTCATGGTGTTGTCATTGGTGTGCCCTGCAGGCGCTTTGTGCTGAATGAGACACTCTTCAGCGAGCTGGTCGAAGCTTCCCGTGACCTACCTGGAAACAGATGGTCGGTGGGAGGCAACGCCCCTGTCATGGCCGGCCGCATGGCCACCGAGGGATGTGACGTGTTGCTCGGGGGCAGCTTTAGCCCAGACTTCACCGATGTCCTATCACAGCACATCACTGGTACTGACGTGCAAACAACACATTGCTGCTCCTAAAATGTCCTTCTAGTATTCTGTTTACTCTGTTGTGTTGATTGCACAATCAACACATGCGATGACGTGTCAAAAAAGCATTTTTATTGACACATCATCGCCCTAAATCATTGTTATCTGTATCTCCAGTTGCAGGTAACATTGTTGAAGAGCCAGACATTCATCTCATCCTGGAGTATCCATCTGGTGCAAAATGGGGGCAGTATTCCTCCCATAGAGCCAACAGGTATGTCATAGTCGATAGTAAGCATTGATTGATGGCATGTTAAGTTGACCTTTGATTGGTGTGCAGGTACATTGTCCACAGTGATGACCATAACCCGTACCTGGCATCCATGGAAGAGTTTGCCAAGAAGCTCAAAGATTTTCATCCAGACCTTCTGGTCGTGGGCGGTTTACAAATGATGGACAACTTTCCGTTTCAGTCAGGTAAGATCAAATGAATTGAAGACATTTTGTTGACTTAAAAGTGCGGCTGCTTCTAACTGTAGCTACTCCTTTCCCTTAGGTGAGCGTGCCGCTCTGCTTTCCCGCCTGGCCGAAGTGCTGGCCACCTCCTCTCCCACTCTTGGTGTCCATTTTGAGATGGCCAGTTTTGTAGAAGAGAGCATCATGGAAGACCTGTTGCATTATGTCATCCCTCAAGTACGTCAAAGTAAACATTCCATTGTTTCACAGGGGTTCGAAAAATGTCAGTCAATAGAGCGCAGACCTTCATCAATGCTGACGTCTGAACAAAACTGTCACCAAAAATGTAATTCTTTGAGTTACCTTGGTACTTCTTGGTTGATGGGGAATTCTGTAAGACATTGGTTGATTGAATAAATGGGCCATGCGATTTTAGAGTACATTCAATCAAAAAGTAAAAAAAATGAAATTACTGCATTTTCACTACCATAAAACGCACATAAAAGTCTGTGACTGTTATTGCGTGACTTTGATGACGGGTCCGCATGACAGGCTGATTTTGTGCCGACACGTTGCTTATATAGAGCAAAGACGGACGTAACTTGAGAACAGCATGCAGACGTTAAGTAGGAAGGGTGGGTGTGAAAGAGAACACTAAAGCCACGCCCCTAGTTGGTGCCAGTTTGTGCATTGTGCAAAACAACATCTGGAAAATGGCACTTAGGAAGCAGAGTTTAAACTGCAACCTATCAGTTTTGCAGAGGACCATGGGAATCGAGCAGCCAAAAAAGAATTCAACATCAACCAGGAATGCAATCCATGGTGCTTGGTGCTTTTGTTTTATGTAACGGCGCCATCTATCCATCTGGGCAAGGACGACCGTGGCGCATCAAAATTCCGGCGGATTTCAAGGAAAACCTGGCCAACTTCCGCTCCTACTGCAGTAAAAAGTGTAATGTTCTGCGTCATATTAAATAAAGACCCTTTTTTGGAGGATTTTAATCCTTTATTCTGCAGCTTTGCCGACCTCATTTGGCTTCCCAAACGTAAAACTGGCACTGTTTGTTAATCATCACGCATGAACAAATATGACACTTGGCTCCTTTTTTTCCACTTCTATTGACATTTCGGTCTTGGTGGAGCTCTGCTCTCTTCTGAGTGACCTTACAGTTTTATGGTCGTTGCAGTAAGGCTAAAATACAGAATCTAAAAGAGAGGATCATGAAAAGTGGGTACGACGATATCTCTCGAGTCAAATTGTTCAGAGTGACAAGGTACAAAGGAGTGGGCTCAAGTGACAGAACAGAACTCCATTTGGATTACCGTAGTTTGTTTCCTGTGGTCGTTAACAACACAAAGAAGAATTGGCAAGGTAGCAACACCATGCACCTAACATGTACACAATAGTTCAAACAGAAAAACACGCATGTTACGTTAATGGAAGACGACAAATTGTCCATAGGTGTGAAAGTGAGTCTGAATGTTTTTTTTGTGGCTGAGTGTTCTACAATTGGCTGATGATCAATGCACGATGTCGCCCACCTCTGCCACAAAGTCACGTGAGACCTTAATCAGGACAAGTGCTATCGAAAATGACTTGTTGATTGTCATCGCGTTTCTGCTCACCCAGGCGGACTCTCTAGGAATGAATGAACAGGAGCTTCCCAACCTGCTGAGCCTCCTCAAAGGCTCCACCATCACAGTCCTGTCCGACCCCAACCCTCGCGTCGCTACCGTCCTGGACCAAATGAGGGAGGTCTACCGCATGGTCAACCAGCGCTACAAAGATGCCGTAGCTCAAGGCGACGACGCCCAAACGTGGGGAAAGCCCCTGACCCGCCTCCACGTGCACACGTTAGCCTTTCAGGCCATGATCGTGACCCGGGGCTCCCAGTGGAAGAACACCATGTCGGCCACCGCCAAGGCCTCGCTCACAGCCAACCGCCACGTGTGCGGTTCCGACGACATCGACCCCAACAAGGCCAGGCTCATCATGGACGACTCATTCTCCGTCAGCCGGCGGGAGGGCAGCCAGCGCATCCCCCTGCAGGAGAGCCGGCCCGTCAGCTGCTGGGAGGAGGACGACTATGAGATCTGCGTGGCGCCCGTGCTGGTGTGCACCGAGGTGTACCAGACCGCAGGTGGGGGAGACAACATCTCAGCCGCTGGCCTGGTGCTGCAGATCTAAAGCAGAACCCTGCCATGACTCTCATCTTCTAGGTGTGATGCAGAACACAGGCACCGACTCCACTGCCTGTCGGGTTAATAATAACAAGTTGTGACCACTCAGATAAGTGATAGAAATTAATTAACAGAATACATTGTAGAGGTTTTGGTCTTTCCTATCAATACCTTTAGGAAGCACTCACTGAACGTGTGCTTTACGGGTTTTATCCACTTGAATGAGAAAAAATGTGCTTTTACAGGTTCTCTTTCTATTTTTAGTTGTTTGGTTTTCAAGCTGGTGGCAATGTGAATTTGCAGTTAGCAAACCAGCCGAACAGTTCTGGGCTCGGGGTACGAATCTGGGCTCTGTTTGCAAGTCCTCCCTGTCCCTCCTTGGGCTGTTCCACAGCCTCATCCCACATTCCCCAAAATGTGCTTGAAATGGACTCTAAATTGCCCGTAGGTGTGAATGTGAGTATGAATCGCTTTTTTTTTGTCTGTGTTTCCTGCGATTGGCTGGCGAACAGTTTCGGGTGTCCCCCGCCTCTCGCTCATCGTCAGGTTTAGCCTTAAGGTACTGGATCAATGTTGATGTTCAATTTGCACCGCCATTCTGCAGCAAACCTATCCAGAGCTGATTTGCTTGTTAAATGTTAAATTTCTTGCCATCTACCCGCAATGTAAACCCTCTTTAAATGTGCAGATTATCTTTTGCTCCAACAGATTAATGCACCTCCCTTTGCCAGCACAGTTGCTTTGAACACAACAGGGCAGGAGAAGTGAGTGTTCAATTGCGGAATATTCTTACCACACAGTCGTGCCTCTGTTAAGGCTCTGATACTGCCTCAGAGGGAAGAAAATTGTTTGATTCTGTTCACCTACTCATTTCAGGTCTGTTCCATGAGTACAGAACAACTCCAAGGGAAAAGTGGAAAATTCTGGCTTTTACAGTCGATGTTAAATGGGGCTTATAGTTCTAAAGAGGGATGAGCGTTTCACTAAATTTCATTGATCGACTATGCAAAAAAAAAAAAAAAAAGTTAAGTATTGTTTTTAAAAAAAGATGGCATATTTTTGTGAATGTTCTAAACTTCTTTTCCATACCAGAGTTTTGAGTAGGTGTCGGCCTTAACCGATAGTTCTTGAAACAGCAAACTAGTTGAGTGAATCAATGCAGTGCATGGTATTTGGGCCCAAATGTCTTCCAGCGAGTTATCACCAACCAATTCCACACAACCCACTGAATTATGATGCTCATTCCTAGTCTTGAGTTATAGTACATTTAGTCAAGATGAGCCGAGCTGATTGGTCCGGTCCTATTTGAACGGCCACACCTGCATCCTTTCTCCCATATGTTGTGAAATGGAAAGATAGTGGCTGATACTTGAGATGAGCCCAATATATGTGAAAGTATGGCTTTTGAGCGTGCTATTTCTTTTAATGTCAGCTGTGTAAAATATCCCAAAAGACGTCCAGGAGACTGCAGATGCTGGATTTACTCTCATTTAATATTCGTTCTTTCTCATGTCTGTTATCGTGTTTGTCTCTCGCTCTCTAAGGACCAAAGAAGCAGGGAGGACTGCTTTCACGAACATTCCACTCTCTCTTCACCACTCCACTTTCTACTTCACCACTTTCCACTTCTACTACTACCTTCCATTAAATCCACCTTGGGTTTCACGTGTATCCATGTTACATTACAACAGGTGTGAAGTCAAGAAAATAAGCTACCTAGATTTGTTCTTAATGTCATTCTGAGTTGATGCTGTGATGGGAACATATGCTGGAAATAAATCATATAATTAAAATGAGCCTTTTTTAAATTTTATTTGGGGGCTGAAAGATGCTTCAATATGTATACACAGAGTGATGGGAAGGCAAGGCTAATGGATCATGTTGTTACTGTGATATATTTTTTCCTCCCCCTCTGAGCAGAATACCAGCATGAATTCATGCTGCATGTTCACTCCATGGCAAATCTGTGATTAAATGCTGACACAGCAGTCAGTCTTTGAGAATGTGCTCAGTTCTTTCCCACCACCACCACCACCACATACATCTTCACTTCCAAAAGGGAATATTTAACCCATTTATGTCCTGCTTCAGTGGCTTCAAGTTACAAAGTACTCCCAGCCATGATGCATGTTTCTTAAATTGACTCCACATTTTTGAATGCTTTTGTAGGCGCCTCAAGTTTGATAAAAATGTCATATACAAAACACATTCCCGGTTTCGTTCAATGATATAGCGCACAACTTTTAACGGGGAGGGATAATGCATGTGTAAGAGAATATGACAAAGATATGATAAATTGAAACATGGAACAAAGAGCTGTAAATCTGGAATGTACATGTGATAGAAATAATGCCTATCGTGCTGTAGTTTACACTTCAGGGTCTAGGATGAGATGGTTGAGTAAGTCCTTGCTGTAAATCAAGTTGGTCTCATGGTCAGTGAGGGCTGTCAGCATCTCATCCATCTCCTCCTGAGTGAAGGCCTCACCTAATGTTGACACAAATTATGCCCCAGATATTGTACAATAGCTGCAGGTTATGACTTAAATGTCGCTTGCGTTAGGGGGGTAAAAAAAAATGCTTTACCTTCCTCCATCATGTACTGTGACAGATCATCTGGGTCCAAGAAGCCCTTCTTTTCCTTGTCAAGAACCTCAACACAAGAACACTTAATTGGACCTTCGCATTGGAATTTGACAACAAGAACTCTCAAGCTACATCAGTTATGGGCTTGGGCCTCATGTGAAGATTATATTGTATGTAGTCATCCACCAAAACCTATTACCCCCCCCCCCCCCACCTCCAAATTACCATGTTTGCATGTTGTCAATATTTTTGTTTTTAGGTTTTCAGTTGTCTCACTTTGTACTTAGTCAAAATGAAAATTCACCAACACAGTAAACATTTCTTTTCATTTTATGCAATGCCATTTTCAGCTGCAGCACTAGTGTAGCTCACAAGGCGTTGCAGTAAAAGGTGTGTGGCATTGGTTTCAAACTACTGTTTTTAGTGAACCGTGGCAGTTTTTTTTTTTGGCAAGTCAAACCATCAAACTGGTTTGACTATTGTGACTTTGCATTTCCAAACACAACTCTTTCTGCAAGACAAACAAGGAGAGAATGTGACGTGGGCGAGCTCACCTCAAACGCTTGAAGCAAAACCTCCTCACAGATGGGAGGGAACCTTCAAGACAAACACACACACACACACACACACACACACACACACACACACACACACACACACACACACACACACACACACACACACACTTATGCAGTCCAAACAATACAAGTACTACCATGAGGAACTAACCAGCCCAATACTTATCATGATACTTTGATTATAAGCTTCAAGTAGGGCAATCTATAGTAGCTGTTCACATGGATTCTTTGATCGATAACATGCTTGCTAATATTAAGAGACATCCTACTTGCGTTCCATCAGAACTTTAGTCATGGCGGGGAGGAAGCGGTCCAGGTGGATATATCCTGTTTGGTCCTCTTCCACCTGGATTGGCAAACACCACACATTTAAATTACTCAACTGAAAAGAGTACCATCCAGGGATAAACCGTATTGGGAGCGAGGACTAAAGGCCGAAAGGTGTGAACGTGCACGTGATGCAGCATCTCGTTTCTGATTGGCCATTAGATCTGCAATGCTACTTTGCCATTCACCGGAGACTCAAATTTTTTGAAAAACGGATTGGCAACAATTTTTTTTAATGTAAGAGTTCAATATAGATCAATAAGGTTCTGACCTCAGCAATGAAGTTGTGCAGGTCTGCCTGACTGGGGAAGCGACCCAGAGAATAGATGATAGTGCCAATTTCACTGGGAAAACAAATACGTAACAGTGTTATGCATTTCCAAACTTTTTTCAGTTTATAACAGGAATCGCTCAACACCCGGCCTAAGAAAGCCGAACGCCCGGTCAGAAATATCGTATATGTAGCCTTAGTTAAGCCCCTCCAGCGTTTTATTTGATATTCTAAAATAGATTTGCAAATTATTTTCTCAGCCACCATACAGGATGTGCGGGTCAAGCCCCGTGTTATCACCCGGAGAGAAAAAAATCCTGGAGCCTGTCTGGTTTATAAGGTACAAACTGACATGGTATCAAATACAGGATATGCATTGTAAGTGTATGGCTCACCTAGCAATATATCTTTATGTGTCATGTGTTTATGTTAAGCTAGAGATGTCTGGTAGCTTGTACTGTACTTGATAACACATATAGAGTATGCAGGGAAATGCAGCCGACTAGAAAAACCTAATCCTTTTAAACATTATTATTTTTATATGATTATAATCATGATTATTATTTGCACTTTAAAAGGAGCTTACCGGACATCGACTGTGCCGTTTGATTGGTAATCAAACGCTTCGAAAGCTGCTCGAATCTTTTTTTCCACCTCTGGGATAAAAAAAAAAGACTATTTGTTTTGGCATTTACAGTAGTTTGCTACTTCTACTTGAATTTATTTGGTCTGACTTCATCTTGACGGCGGTTTGCGCTGGTAATTTGACTAAACAAACCTGCACTTTGCGCGTTGACCGCCATGTTGGTTGTTGTTTAGCTGTCGCTATGGCAACCAACATGAGGCACGCGCTTCCTCAAAAGGGACTGTCAAGCAAATACAACAGAAATGGAAAAAAATACAAGTGTAAATTGTTTGGATTGTCATGATGATCATGATAATTTTGATCATTATAATAATTAAAATCATTTTAATTAATTCAGAGTGATTTTTTTTAATAATGTTTATTGAACAAGTCAGAATACAATTCTCAGTAAACAGAAAATTCAGAGTGATTCTCACGGGACTTCGAGGTCCACCTGACGTCATTACAACACGACTGTTAAATTACGCAAACAATGACTGTATTTTGTCAGCTGCAATACCTTAGTAATTTATCATGAGTTCATCATGACTATTGCCTTGTACTCTTTACTCCTTTAGTAGGTTTGTTTCTATTTCTTATTGAAGACATTGTACCTTCTATAATATTTATGCGTTTTGTTACATACGAAAATTGTCTGCATAGAGTTGTACACGTTCACATCAAAATTTCAAATTTTCAAAAGTTTTGAAAAAAATGCATAGAGTTGTACACGTTCACATCAAAATTTCAACAAAGTTTTGAAAAAAGAATGTTTTTGAAAAAAAGACCATATTACAAGTCTTCAGCATGTAGTGATTTTTTTTTGAGAAATTGAGAATTTTACTCATTTAGTAAATCCTTAGCCTGAAAATAAAAACAAATAAGAATGAAAAGTAGAAGAAAAAGTATAATGTCTGGCGGGGTTTGTATAAACGGTTCAGAAAAGAGGTAAAGGGACACAATTTACAGCAATGCATGAACCCATTCATAACACACTACAATACAGATACAGTACACAACAGAATTGGGTACTCAAATGTTGATGTTTTCATGAATATTTTCAGACGGCTATTAGGAAGCTGGAGTTCATGAAGTGAACATTTTTTATGCCATCCATGAGTCACACTAAAATTCTCCAAATTCTGTCTTTTTATCGGGTTTGGCATACTAAGAGAGAATTCCCTATTACTCGATTATTGTTTCGAACAAGTCAAGCAGGAAGACGTGGTTGATTTCATTGCACTATGCACACGCCTATTAGGCGCACGACATGTAAACAATATCCGTCCACAGAACGAACAAAATCCTGGAAATCATATCTAGTGGTCTTAAAAGTGCATAGTTCCATAACACTAATCATTGAACATGCTTTACGAGTCTGAAATGTTTACCTGGAGTTTGAATAAAAGATTGCATTTTTAATTGAAGATTTCCTTCTGCTCGTGTTTCATAAATATGGCAAAGAAGTGGTCTCAGACAATGGATGCCAATATATGACCACCCTATATTCCATCAGTCTTCTGCAGTGCTTGTGTGTTCATATTTCCGGTTGGCCCTGATGTACAGGGACTTCCTGTTCATGCCTCTGCTCTGCTGCAAAGTCTTCCGGGACTTGCTGTCCTCTGTGTTCATCTTCGTGTTGCATGGATTCTTGTTTTTCTTCTGCTCTAACTTCGTGTTGCACCTCCTCTTGATGAGCCTGACCGTATTCACCGGGCTCCTCCTGTTCTTTGGCTGCTTCCATCATCTCCTGCTTGGTATCCATGTCTGGCATCCCCTCGTCCAGAATCACCTTCTGATCATCCGATTGCCGATCCTCGATCTGATTGTCCTTTATGGCCAAAGGCAGAGAGGGTGGGTCTCACATTACAGTGGTCAAATAAGGTCATTTTATATTACATAATGTTCTATTAATGAAATAAAAAGTATAAAATAAGTCAGTATAAGCAGGTCAATATAACAGAAAAATAATGATGTCACTTTCATGTATTATTTATAATGGTTGTAATTTGAAGAACCACACAAAAAAGGACATATTAATATCATCAATAATTAGATTCAAACATGTTCAAGCCCTAACATTCTGTCTCTTTCATTATATTTGGTTTTAATAGCCATGATTCAAATATTTTTAAATTACTACTAATTAAAAGCTAAATTACACAAATATAAAAAATAAAAAATTCAATCTCCTCAATTGAAAACCTCACAATTTTCTAAAACTCTAAAATATGATGAATAATTTGAAGTTAAAGAATGTATAATTTTTTTCAATGAAAAAAATACACTCGGATACTTTAATTGTATTATTATTATTATTATTATTATTGTTTTTCATACTGAATTCTAAAATGCTCTTAATTTTCCAAAATTGCAAAAAAAAATAAAAAATAAAAAAAAAATGAACAGTGGTATGCCAATAGTGTGAAGCACCAGATAAAAAATACAAATACAAATTCATATCATTGCTCAGAGTCATAGGTGGGTAGCAGGTCACAAGCTAAATATAGTCCGTTGCGTTTGTTGAAGTAACTTTTGGGAAAATGTGTATGTGTCAGTAGTGCAAAATACTTTTTATTACGCGAATATTTTTGTTAAAAAGCGCTACTTCCATCCATCCACCCATCCATCCATTTTCTAATGCCTTTCTCTGCGCTAGGTTCGCGTTAACAACAAATTACAGTACTGTGCTCTACCTCTGTGTGAGCTGATGGAAGAGACAGCAGCTCTGAGGGAGTCAAGAGACCATCCCGGTTCACATCCTGACTCTGAAGAAGGAAATCCACCAGGGACACCACCTGGACACACAAACATATCAACAACAACAACAAAAAAAAGTTTTCCGCAGTGAGAAGTGGATGCTTTTGGCCGTCAACACGGGGTGCATTCGGGAATTCACTCTGATGCCCTAACACCACTCGGAGAGTGTGTGTGTGTGTGTGTGTGTGTGTGTGTGTGTGTGTGTGTTCAGAGAGACATTGCGCGTTCCCATCCAATTCATTTCCAAAAGCAGCCTATGTTATTAAGTAACGTAATCAGCAGGTCACGCTTGAAATGGTTCCTTTTCTTGTATTGTCTGACACACTGGGCTGTGGCATTCTTTTTTTTTGGAGCACTCTGAATAACCGAACGGCATATTTGAACAACGCTCTGAGTTTCCGAATGGTCAGGGCAAAGTAGTACGCATACGCACATATTTCTGAATGCATTCATGATTAGGAAAGGATGTTCTTACCTTTACTCGTCTTACTCTTGTTTATTATTATTATTATTATTTTTTAATAATAAATTTCCCCCCCAAAATTTGACATATAGTCTGGAGCAAGTTGTTTGTTGTTTTTTCTTCTTCATGATGCATTTTTTGAAAATGCCTTCAAGTCCCAAAATACAGTATAAATGAAAAACAAAATAAGTTATCTTACAAACATTTTGACGTCCTCTACATGAAAAACATTCTTTCACTTCTCCTTACATCCATGTCATTGGCCTGTTCTTCAGTTGCATGCTGGGAATTGTAGTCAGACAGCAGTTTCATCATCTCCAAGCCGTCCAGGCGTTCATTGCGGTCGAAGTCATACAGACGAAGTAGGTAGAACACCTCTGCCCAAACAACGGGAAAAATAAGTGTATGTTAAACTTATCATTTTTAATATCTAGCTTGGTAATTCTTCTTAGCCATGTGAAAATTGACATTAACTTGGTGCTGATATTTACCTTCATCTCGAGAGTTGATCTGAACATCGTCTTTTTTTGTTAACTCAATGTAACGCTGCAGCAACCTGCGAGGGAGACACACACACGCACACGCACACACACACGCACACACACACACACACACACACACACACACACACACACACACACACACACACACACATTTTACACATATAAGTAGTATGTTTGAAATATAAATTATGTAACACACTGACTCTGGACTTGTATGCGATACAATGTGTGAGCCATATGTGACGCAACCAATCAAGTCACGAGAAATAAATGACATTCACTGGACACTTCATTAGGTACAGCGGCACAATGACAATAACAAACAGGTATGTGTATTTTGTTAAATGTGCCATCATATGATCAATAGGTCAGATGGAATGTAGATGACTGCAAACTACAACCACATTGGTAAACATTGCAACCATCAATTAATTTGTGTAACGCTTTTCCTCATACAAGTAGCAGATGAGCTGGAGTCGATCCCAGCTGACTTTAGGCAAAAGGTGTGATCAACCCTCGAGGGATAGCCAGCCATGCAGAGAACACATATTGACAAAAAGGCCTTTCACACTCTATGGACAATTTTGAGTCTTGGTTTCCGTAATATCCGTGTTTTTGGAATGTAGGCCAAAGCTGGCACACCTACGCAAGCATGATAACGCAAACTTAACACAGGAAGGTCGAAACCGAGAGTCAAATCTCAAACCTCAGTAATGTAAGTCAAACATCTTTAAAAATTTGGAATAACTGACTTCTGAATATGCACCAACTGTACCTAATATTGTGACCAGTGAGTGTAAGCTAGTCTGTTTTGAAAGACACAATAATTCGGTTTACTATAAATGTCAGCTAAAATAAACCCCAATAAACATGCTAAGGGATCTAGCATGGATGGATATACTGTACGTTGCAACATGAATCAGTATGATTGCACATGTAATCTTATCATTGTAGGGCACAACATTGTAACAACACAGCAGCTAAAGTCCACAATGACAAGATAATCGTGTCTTGGCCCACTAAAACAGAAATGTACAAAAATACTGACACATGTTGTTGACTAGCTATGTGTCGGGTTGTTGTTGTTGTTGTTGTTGTTGTGTCAGTCACCTTCGCTCCTCCTCTCCTGAACCAAAAGGATTGGTCAGCAATTTGGAATCTGGGTGAACTCTCTCTGGATCCTCTCTTTTGGATATGTTGAAAAGTTGAAAATGCACATTATGTAATACTACCCAATACAGTACTACTATGCAAATATATGCAAAACATCCAAATAATCGATATGACGTCATTCGTTCTGCAGGCATACCAATGACACCGTTTTCTTTCTTTACTGTATGTAAGACAACGATTGGACATTCGAAGCAACAGCATGAAGCATTCTGTGTCATAAAGCTTAGCAACATGTTCACAAAAACCAGAGCGAGTGTACACAGAATGCAGTGCAAACATGTGGTTTACCTTTGAGGTGCAGTCTGGGATCGGTGAACCTGCAGGATCAGAGCCAGAACCAGAAGTGATGGGACTAGTCTGTTCAGATGTCTATCCATGATCAGGCCTAAACAAACACACTTATAAATAATTATACATGACGTTGCTATATTGTAACAATGAAACAACTACCGCACTCTATGTCTTTTAAGAATCTGTAGGCCCACAGGGCAAGTAGGTAGTATTATATTACCCATTTAGGAAACTTATTTGAAGATCTTTATTCCACGAGCATGTGCGCAAATGTTTAGCCACTTCTGTTACATTGGGATGAAGATTGAGTGATTCTGATGGAGGCCACTTAAAGCACTTTATCGCGATATTGACTTGGCCAGTCAAAGTCAACTGTACCAAAACGAAGCAAGAAGTAAAATAAACCACGACGGAGCTGGAGCAGTGTGTCGTTACGTTTAGTAGCTACACTTTTTCACAACCGATCCATGCGCGCAGCACTTTTTTTTATCCTGCTCTTGTATTGGATCGCAATAGATCGTGCAAGTGTGCCTAATGTTGTGACCACCAGTGAATATACATGACTATTAAAAGTCGGTTGCAATAACCGACTGTGTATCGAGACGAAACAATAAGCGTGACCGTCGACAACGTTGGGCATGTTTCTAAAACATATGTGCTTGGTAATAAATTGACAGCTAGCATGCAATGCAGAGGACAGGTCGAGCAGAACACATAAACCCGTGCGCGGCCACGTACCTATCACCGCAGATGAAGTGAGCTCACAGCGAAGGTAAAAGCCAGGTGAGATATTGCTGAGGTGGTGATGCGTTCAATTACCAGTATTAGCGTTTAGCGCCTCCTTCTGCAGCTGGTACGTGAACGCGCCGCGGGCTCTGCACTGCGCCAGGCGCGCGCTCTTAACCGCCGCCGAATGGAAAAGTGAGTGTGTTGGCAGCCACGTGGAAGATCCAGGCAGCAGACACACATGCACAGCCTGCGTGTCTCGGCCACGTCCACAGCCTGATCCAGCTTGTTTCATTTGGCGTCGACACCAAACCTGGATTTCGTTTCATTGCAAGCACGACACGAGGGTTCCACCCATAGACATTTGAGTTTCTGGAAGCTGAGCATTTGAACTTATTTTTTTATGTACAACATTGGACACGGACACACGCACACGCGCATACACAAGCATCTGTAAGGAGCCGCTTGGTTAACGATCCACACGCCTCAGTATAAAAGTAATAGAAACACGTGATTTGTTTCAACCTATCCGGGAAGGTCATGATCATAACGCTTATACAACACCATGCATCTTGAAATGTTTAGCGCATTAACAACTGCTGCAACTGTAACAAAGCGCCTCACAGAACTTTTAACATAAATTATTACAGTAATAGATCATAGTTGTTGTTACGATTGTTGACGTATATTATATGACATGTTTTATTCATATATTGTATTGCATGAATAAAAACTCGCTAGTTTTCCTGACTTAAAACATCATGAACTGTTAATTCAATCTGGAAAAAGAAAAAAATGTATTTCATCTTCTTGCATGTCTGCAACAAAAAACAGGAGTGTAAACTGAAACCAAACTTGTGAGCCTGTGAGATATCACGAGTGCAATAATGTAACATATCGTATATATGTAATCTACATATTATAAATTTTATGTATTTGAACATTGATCCATCCAATACCACTAATACAGTGAATGTAATTATATGAATGACAAATAAATAAAGGGAGCATACCGAAATACTTGGAAATGCAACATTTCAGCCCAAAAAAAAATTAAAAAGCTTTAGTCGTTGCTATTCCCGCTAACAACCACTGGGGGGCAACACACTAAAAAGTAAAGTCGCGCAGTACTGTACTCATACGATTGCGTGCATTCCCGAATAAATCAATGTATTAAGACTATATTTAACCAAGCTTTTCAAAAACCTACCTGGTCTTAATTCGACAAGCAACATGAAATATTTTCCAATACACTGACTACAGAATGCTTATACAAAAATAAAAAAATAACATATGTATTAGTCCAATACTTCCTCAGAGCTCTCTTCCTCATGTCAAGTTACACTGCAAATAGCATTAATAAAAAAATATATATATATTGAAAAACACGTTGACACGGCCGTGTTTGTTCTTTGGCTCATGATTAGGGCAGGAAACGTTGCCTATTTACTCGTCGTATGACAACACAACAGTGCAAAGCAGGTGCTTCGGCAAAAACAAAACATGAACACTTGCACTTGTACACGTGTGGTTACAGTGTGATCGCTCCTCATTTTGTCACAGCTGGATGGTGTACAAACATCCCACTGAAGAATCCTAATTGCTGAGTTGCAGCTTTGTGAGTGCGCGCGCGTGTTCGTATGCGTGTGTGCGAATGAGGCAGAAAACGAGACGGTTAGACTCAGAATGCAAAGTTCTGTGGATGATTCCCGTTTTTATCGGGGCGGAATGGCTCAGTAATAGTGTGGTCGATCCTTGAGCAAGATACCGAACCCCCCAGTTGCTCCTGATGCTTCGTCATCAGTAGGTGAATGTACGACCAGTGTAAACCGCTTCACAAGTGACAGCCCATTTACCATATCTTGACGATTCACTGCTGTCGTGGAACATTCTTTTAAATCAGGACTGTGCGAATGAGGCAGAAAACGAGACGGTTAGACTCAAAATGCAAAATTCTGTGGATGATTCCCGTTCTTTTATCGGGGCGGAATGGCTCAGTGATAGAGTGGTCGACCATGACGAAGTGTCCTTGAGCAAGATAATGAACCCCGAGTTGCTCCTGATGCTTCGTCATCAGTAGGTGAATGTACGACCAGTGTAAACCGCTTGACAAGTGACAGCCCATTTACCATATCGTGACGATTCACTGCTATCATGGAACATTCTTTTAAATCAGGACCCTCATGTCTGTATTGTTGAAAAACGCTGCCTGACATTTTCAGAAGATTCATTGGAAACTGCACTTACGTTACAGGGTGCACTTAAGATTTGAACTTGGACCTCAGATAGGTCTTCTTGGGGAAACCGTATGGGTTCTGACATAGGACATGAATTCTGAAAAAATAAAAAGAAATGAGATGAAAATTATGATGTCTTGAAGAGGTGCCAAGTATTTTGACCAAGGTGTCTTTGTTTATTGTTTAGGTATTATTTCACTGAGTAGAGTTCTTGCTATTATACAGGTGCAACGCTATGAATCAAAATACGATATCAAAATACGGTAGAAAAGTCATATTATATAAATTCAATCGGAGGCCACTTCCCACCTAATTTCTTGTTCGAAATCATTTGGGTAATTTCTTATTTATTCTGTGTTTTAGTATACAGTACATTTTCAGAGTGAGTTAACGCCAAGGATTTTGACCAAGGTGTCTTTGTTTATTGTTTAGGTATTATTTCACTTAGTAGAGTTCTTGCTATTATACAGGTGCAAAGCTATAAATCAAAATACAATATCAAAATACGGTAGAAAAGTCATATTATATAAATTCAATCGGAGGCCACTTCCCACCTAATTTCTTGTTCGAAATCATTTGGGTAATTTCTTATTTATTCTGTGTTTTAGTATACAGTACATTTTCAGAGTGAGTCCCCAGGGAGCAGATGAATAGCAGACCTGTTGTAATAAGAGTTCACAAGGGATTAGACATTGTGATTTCCTGGAAATGGTGTCCAAGTGATCATTTGAAAAGATAAGCCCTCGAGTTATAGAAATAAAGTGCTGCATACTGATATTAAAACAGCGTGAGAAACCATCAACATGATCAGTCGTCACATGGATGAAATCATCAATGAATAATAATAGCATCATTTTACAGGTAATTTCAGCAAGTTAATCATTCGGTGTTCATCGAAGCGGCAGCCCTTCTCAAGTTGACCGTTCAAAAAGGTCGGTGACCCGTGTCCTGTTGTTATGTCCTGTGTGATGTTACCGTTTTGTCAGTCTAACTCCACTTTACACATGTGACACAATTAACAGCTGTCGACTCCATGTACTATTTTGCGAGCTGCGTGCGCTTCCCAGCACCATGTCACGCAATTTCAGGACTCTGTTTGTTTTCAGCATTAGCAGAAGAATGTTTACCCTTTAATTGGGGTTGGTTGGCCTGCACGCACACACGCACGCGCGCGAGCGCACACACACACACACACACACACACACACACACACACACACACACACACACACACACACAAACTCAACCGCAGGTCCCATTTGGAAGCCCCTCCACCTTCACTCAGTTACATAACAGGGATTAACTTGTACTATTTTGTGGGCCCCAACAGTCCAAACCATGGAAGCTATTTTTAGGTGCGGACCCCAATATAACATCAACACATGATCTGGTATATAATGGCTAAATTAACAGTGATATGTGCAGCGGGGGCCTCACATAAGAACACTAACATGCATCGTGTCAGGCCCTTTCAACTCTTTGTTACCAGCACCTATTTTTTTTAAACATATTTAGTAAAGCACTCAATTTCAAATACCTTTCTTGCAGTGTCAATCCAAACTACACATTATCTTTGTAAGGTCATATTTATCTGTATTAGATCTCATTAGATGAATGACTGCCAACCATTGTGCTAATTGAAATGATCCAATTTCACTTGCTCGTTGGAAAATTCTTATGTATTTATTACAAATGTGTTCATCTGTTTATGCCAATGATAAAATTAAATGCTCTGCCAATAGATGGCAGAAGGTACATCTATCCATCCATTTTGGAATCCGGTTATCCTTACGAGGGTCGCGGGCGTGCTGGAGTCTATCCCGGGCAGAAGACGGGGTACGCACTGAACTGGTTGCCAGCCAATCGCAGAGCACACATTGAAAAACAAACATTCGCACCTACGGACAATTTAGAGTGCTCGATTTACCTACCATGCGTGTATTTGGAATGTGGGAGAAAACCGGAGAAAACTCACACAAATACGGGGAGAACATTCAAACTCCACACAGGAAGGCCGAGGCCCGGAATCGAACCCCGGACCGCTGCACTGTGAGGCGGACGTGCTAACCAGTCGATCACTATGCCGCTGACAATGAGTAACAAAAATTGTATTCTTTTTTTTTCCCTTACAATAATCACTCACTGATCAGCATGATCGGTCCAGTTTGAGCCAGTTTTATATGGTTTTAGACTGGCATGAATCAGATGGACAACACACACACGGGCACGCACGCATACGCTCACACACACAAACTCACAAATGCCAGGCATTTCTATACACTTGAGTTTGTTTGAACTAGTTGCCGTCACATTCCACAAGCCTATTATTATGAGTTTCTGGTCATTACAACTGGACAGTCAGGAAGCACTAATTGTGTCGCAGTACAATACCTCGCACACACGCACGAACGCATGCACACACGCACACGAGCACAGACGAGCACGCACGCAACACAGTACGCTATTGCCACAGAGAGGATGTTTCTCTTGCACTCTGGCAACACGACTGGATTTCTTGTACAACACACACTGAGAGGGCAGTTCCGCTTCATCATGGGCGACTAATTGCAGCCCAGCATGCTGCCAGCATGTTATGAAGCAGCCTCCAATGGTCATTAGCCCACAGGTATTTGTGGGCACTTATTTTAAGCGCATAGGATCACTAGTCTCCCTTGTACATAGACCCACCTAAGCATGACATGTTTGTGATGAAGAGGGCCCAACAAAAGTTCGATAGAAGAGAGTGCGGTAAGTTGAGCAACTTACAAGTCTATCTGGTTTTTGTGTACGGGAGAATCCATCCATCCATCCATCTATTTTCTGTTCCAATTCTGAAATATACATTCATCTATGAGTTTGCCCCCAAATTGTAAATACCTGTGGTGATCCTGGAAGAAAAAAAACTAGCTCAATTTAACCACCTCTGTCATACTTGTAACTTTTGGTGAGTAGCGTCGCTGAAATTGATAACAAATAAAAAGAAAACTTGTTGCACTCAGTTCCGTAAAAATAGAGGCTTTTTAATTTTATCATTGGCCCCTTCCACAGGAATGAGTCTCATGATTGCCTTAGCATTACTAAAACTATTTGACATGATATTCGGTATTTTGGCTCACTGTGATTACATGTCACTCTTCAATAATTATGACACACTGAACTGCTGCTATCATGATGAAAAGAGGAAAAAGACCAACTAGACTAGGAGCATCCTATACATTAAGATGGATGATGAGAAGTTAATTGAATACACGTCGTAATGAGTGGATATAAAAAGTCTAAACACTCTGTTAAAATGGCAGGTTTTTGTGATCAGCCCTTCTCCTGGCCGATACCTTGGAACAATGAGATCACTCTGACTCTGTGGAAGCTGCTCGCGCTATAAGATGCAATTACACCAATGTCAGGGAAAGCCTACTAGAACATCTCTACTTTAACTGGGGTTAATCGGAGACACTCCAAATGGCCACTCCCGTTTAACAGGAGTTTGAATGTGATTGGTAAACTAAAAACAGCCGCGTCCTCAAACATAAGAGGGTGCACACACTTGTGCAATCGCAAGAGGGAGACTTGCCTCTTGCCCCAAAGTCAGCTCGGATATGTTCTAATTCACTCTTATCCCTAATGAGACGAGCAGTGTAACCAATAGAGCGATTGATATTCCTAATATTTCACGACATACACTAATATCTTTTTAATATCTTTTTCTTACTTTCCTCACGGACTCGTATTCTACCTGACAAACCATTGGAGTCTCCCTCTTCTGGCCAGCATAAAGAATGCACTCACATGGTGCTGGACTGATTTCTTCATCAAATAGCCACACTTTGCTGTGTTGTATCACAAACACAATCGTCACAGTAGACAAACACATGTGCACAGCACTGAGTGTTCAGCTAACCGTGACACACATCGACCCACACGTGTCTATCTTTGGCTGTATAAATGGGCATGTAATTATTATTATTTTTTTGTGTGTGGGAGCCAGCAAGGGGAAGCATGAAGATTTAAACTGCTATTAATTTCTCATCAGCAGCAGAGTGTCAAGAGAGCCGACGGGGACGGCAATCATGAGGATGACAATGCCAGATCAGCATCCTGCTAAACATTTGAAATGGATGCCAAACATCACAGAGAGAGGGAGAGAGCGAGAGAGAGAGAGAGAGCGAGAGAAAGAGAGAGAGAGAGAGAGAGAGAGAGAGAGAAGCATTAAAAATAAACTGAATTTCAAACCTGCAAAATTACATGACAGGGTTTTTGAAAATGTTTGTGATGTTGTTTTCCAAAACATGTTTTGTGATGTATCCCCCCCACAACCTTCAAAAAAAACATGTTATGAATAATTTTGTACATTTTCAACTTTAAACTTAAATTAATCTTTGCTGGTATCTGTTATCTATTCTAGAAGCACACATGATGCTATTCAAAAGTTTGAGGTCAGAGAAGAAACCATTAAGTCTCATTTATTCAGCAACTCCCTCTCTCCAAAATTCGAGGGTGAAAATGAATACATTCATTTTCATTATTATTGTTAATGATTTGGTTAATGGCTAAATTGTAAAGAATAAAATTAAAAATACTACACAATACATTTGATCTACTTTTTTAATTTTTAAGTATTTTAATGACAGTAAAATCATTTACAAAAACGTACATGTATATTTTAACTTAATTATTTGTTGTTGTTGTTGTTTTTTTTTTTTTTTTACCTTAACTCAGGGGTGTCAAACAGATTTTTGTTGCAGGCCACATTTTAGTTACCGTTTCCCTTGGACGGCTGTTAGGACTGTGAAACCATATAAAGAAGTCAAGAATAAAATGGTTTATTCCACTATTGTTTAACTTATCGTAATGAGGGTTTGGTAAGAAGAAGATGCTTGCAATATCTCTCTTGTTTATTACATATGAGAATTTGACAATGTGGTACAGATTATAGCAAGCGTCACGGAAGTGGAAGTTGTAATGTTTGATTTGCTATCCTGGGCCACATAAATGCATGTGATACTGTGTGTGTGTGTGTGTGTGTGTGTGTGTGTGTGTGTGTGTGTGTGTGTGTGTGTGTGTGTGTGTGTGTGTGTGTCATGACCAGAACTTCACTCTTTGTGAGTGTGCATGCATGTGTGTTTCTCCACCCATCTCTCTCCCCCTCCTGCTCCTCCCTCTGTTTTATCCCATCCCTCCTTCGCTCAGGGAGCGCAGTGGAGCAGCGTGCATGCCAGAGAGCCAAAGAGCATTTGTCTGGCACACGTGGAGCTCCAACACCGCTCTGCCGCTGGCCCGGCCTCAGCGGAGGAGAGACCAAGAAGACGAGGAAGAGGAGGAGGAAGAGCAGGACAAGGAGGCCTCAGCATCACAGGGAGGAGAGGCCAAGAGGAGGAAAGATTCCCCGAAACGCAGTGAGGGCGTCGAATGAGGAGGAGAAGAGGAGCCCGGAGGGCATTGGATAGGCTCAATCCAGGAGTGAGTAGCACTGATTGTAGTACTTTTTAAATTTATTTATTTATTCATTTTAATACATTGAAATATTTCCGTGCGTACCTGAAGATGGCAATAGTATTTTCCAGTAACATTTTACATTACATGTAAAGTAGTGACATAACAGCGCAATTAGCTCATCTCATATATTTAAAAAAAAAAAAAAAAAGCTTTTCATTTTGTTGAGTGAGAGTCCATACCGCAGTTCTATCTACAATTGTCTTAATTTATATTGTTATAATAATAAAAATGGTCTTAAAACACAAACGCTGACAGTTATTTTTAAGTTCATGTTTAGTTTGTAATACATCTTTTGTATTGTTTGCTTGATTAAGCATAATGTACAGTGTATGACTGTCTGTTTATGCAACAAAAAAAAGCTGAGAAACGATATTCTTTTACAAAGCATCAAATTGTTGACAGCCTATCTTTTTCGACATTTTTTTTCACCACTGAACTTATCGTGGACAAGTGAAAAAACATTTCAATTGCAATAATGCTGAGCAGTGACGCCATTGAAAGCTTGTTTAAAACGATTTTTGTTCATTATGTGACCTGGTAATGACTGCGTTTGTTATCTACGGCCTTTAATTGTTGCATGTGTATGAAATAGCAACAAAAAAGCTATTGCCAGAAACTAATGGTTAGTGCAATGTAACAGAGTGAACCAGCCATTCTCAACGTGTGGTACGCGGGCTCCCTCTCGTGGTAGGAGGAAAAAAGCAAAAAAAAAGAATTAAATGTTGAAAATGTGTGTTACAGTGGCTGAAACATTTTTTTTTCATCCAGTGCAGTACATTTCATGTGTTCAATTTTGTACAATGCATTTACTGTTTTTTAAAAAATATTTATTTCGCTAATTTTGTCTCACTTTTATATGTACCTGTAAACATTTTCACTGAAACAAGTACAGTTTTATTTCCCCTATACTTAAGCATCATGTTAATTCTAATTGTACATAATGTTACAGTGGTTTACACTAATACGAAATATACTTTTAAGGAATAAAACCTCTGTCTTGTTTTTTATGTTACTTTATTATAATGTTGATCATAACGGTGGTACTTGGAGAGCTACAAATGATTTTAGGTGGTACTTGGTGTAAAATGTTGGAGAATCACAATCTAAAATTAAGTTACTGTACCTTTGTGTACTGTACTGTACAGTTATTCTAAACTACTTTTAAAAAATGTTGTCACTAAAACAGGCAAGAGAGAGCGAGTCATGTGTTTGCTTGTGTCAGGATTGAAAGGCCATTTCGAAGCCTTGTCTGTGATTTATTTATAAAGACTTCTAAAATTAACAACGAAATGGCCGTAGCAAGTGAAGTGAGACAGTGTGGGTAAAACACAATTCCTGGCGATGTTTTTTTTTTTTTCTCCCCCCCCCCCCCCCC